TCTACTGCAAATCACAAATCCAACCACTGTGTGCACCAGCAGAGTTTTGCTGGCATCTAATGGGGAAAATTTGGTACTGCGCCCAAACAAAATCTTACTGAAAGCTCATTTTTTGAGATATCAACCTCAAATTTGGAATACAACTTGTTTAGATTTATGGCTTTGATTTTCTAGCAGGTATAGAGTTCAACATGTTTCATAAAATATATATTTTATATAAAACATCGTTCATAAATCATTTTCATAAACCTAAACATCTAGAACTGTTTTTTTTTGGTTTCACTTTTTAAACTTTTTTTACTTCAGCAATAATCTGCCATGGGTCTTCTTTCAAATGAGACCAAACTTAGCTCTGTGCTCCCAAGCTTCAAATTTTTATGACAGTTTTTTGACATGGACATTTTTGTCCACTATGGACCTATGTGTAACTTTTTTTAATTGATGCACAAGGGTTAAAAAAAATAGTGAAAACAGTAAAGTTGTGCAATATTATTACAATTTGAAATAGCTGTTTTCTATGTGAATATCTGTTCAAGTGTCATTTATTTCTGTGATCAAAGCTGAATTTTCAGCAGTCTTCAGTGTCACATGATCTTCAGAAATCATTCTGATATTTGCTGCTCAAGACACATTTCTTTTCATTATAAGTTTAGAGCTGCTTCATATTTTTGTGGAAACCGTGATGCGTTTTATTTTTCAGGATCCTTTGATGAATAGAATGTTCAAAAGAACAGCATTTATTTGAAATCGAAATCCTTTGTAACATTATAAATGCCTGTCACATTTGAACAATTGAATGCATCCTTAATTGCTGAATTAAAGTATTACGTAATTTCTTTCCAAAAAAAACCTTTCTGACCCCAACCCTTTGAACTGTAGTGTTTATGCAAATTAATAATACTAAAACCATCATCACTGTCAGTAAAAATGGGAAGGTTGCCGTTAAATGCTCGACTTACTTCTTGTTTCTGGGATGATAGCCACAGAATGAGACGTTTTTCAAATGGAAAAAGTGACTATATTGGCTGCTCTGTGGAGACACATTCATAACACAATTCAGCCCAGTTCATCTGTACAGTTTGATTTGACCATACAGCTAAATATTCAACAAACAACAGCGTTATTCTTCATTCCTCACTTGAAAGTCTTCATTTTCAAGTTTAAGTCTTGGAGATGCTCGATGCAAAACCGTGCTCGAAGGCGATCATAAAACAAACATTGTTAATGCAGTAGATGGCTTTTACCAAGTCGAAATCATCCTGCACCGTGAGTTTCAGTCCCTTCACGTTGATCTCCAGGACGCAGGATGAGGGAGGATTGTAAAGCACAGTCAGTCTCCTGTTCATCGCAATCTGGAGTCGATCATAAACAACCGTTATCAGTCTAATCAAGAACTTACATATGCTTAACCCAAGTGCATGTGCTGATTCCCTCACTACAATCAAATAATATTTAAGATTTATGTATTAGAATCTCAACCTAAATGTGCATCCAGTTGGATTACACAGTTAAACAAACTCATAAACTTGATACTAATAAATGTGATGCATACCGTGTTCATCAGTTAAACATAAACGAAACAGGTAAGATTTCTGTGCTGTTCTGTTTGAAATAATTTAGAATTTTATAAAATATGACATATATATATATATGATATTTATTCAAATAGCTTACAATCAGCATACATCTGTTCATTGTTTAACTGAATTACATTTATTCAGTTAAAAATATGAACATGGTTAAAATATGGCTAGCCGTGGAAAAAGCAATATTCAATTAAAATGTACGAGATCTGATGACAAATCAGATTTACTGATGATAAATATATAAACCTGGTTATCGTGTGTTTAAAACACATTCACTTTATATTAGTACTATTACAGAAATCTGACCGGTTTAATTTAATTATGACTGACAAATATGCATTAAAACTGTGTAATGGAAATTTTACATGCAATTCAAATACATAAATCTTTAATTTAGGCCTAAATGTTTTTGAGCGTACATTTGTTTTCATGTGATCAACATTTTAAACAAAGAATAGTGAAGTTCGCAAGTTTCACACGAGACATTATTACTGTAAGAAATGCACTTTTTTTTTTTGTTCATTTAAACTACGCAGTGAAATGTGACGTAAATCTTATCCAACCTTTTGCATAGCTGCACACAAAACATCATTGCCTTTGTGATTCAGCACTTGAGCCGAGCCGAGGAATTTCATCGTATATCTCTCCATCCATTCAGTACTTTTTGCTAACGAGAACAAGACCGAGACATAAAGACCATACAAACAGTTAAGTAATTAAAGCCAAGTCACATTGGTTTCTATAGTGCTCATGAAATGAATACAATTTCAGCTGTAAAGCAGCTCTAAAAAGACGATAGCATCATTATTCAGCTCACTTTACACTTAAAAATAAAGGTGCTTCACGATGCCATAGAAGAACCTTTTTTTTGTCTAAATGGTTCCTTATAAAACGGAGCGTTCCGGTCCTTGATTCTGATTGGCTGAGCCACGTTCGAAGCTGTTGTAAATTACACTACAAACACACACCGTTGTTTACTTCTGTGTGCTGCTCGGCAAACACTTTGTTGGAACCACAACTGTTTCTGAGGAACTACATTGTTTGGTGGAAGAATACTGTTTTTATTAATATCATTACACTTTACTTGCTCGGTTTTATTTTGTGAAACCTTACTACGTATATGGAATAACCGTTTTATAAAAGCAATAATCCCCGTGAAGCCGTGGTTTACAGTGAATTTATAACAGCTAAGGGGGTTTACTCCGCTTCACATCGTACCTAACAACGCCCCTTAGCTGTTATATATTCACTGTAAACCACGGCTTCTTGGGGCTTATTGCTTGTTTCACAAAAGGTTCTTTGTGGCGAAAAAAGGTTCTTTAGATTATAACAAGGTAGCAAAAAGATGGTTCTTTAAAGAACCTTTGACTCAATGGTTCTTTGGTTCTTTAAAGAACCTTTGACTGAATGGTTCTGTGTGGAACCAAAAATGGTTCTTCTATGGCATCACTGTGAAGAACCTTTTAAGCACCTTTATTTGTAAGAGTGTAGTCCAATGTTGTTTCGTTTTAATTCAATAACAGTGTTATTGTTGCAAAGTTCATTAGTTATGAAGTTAACTTCTTCTACAGAAGACAATCGTGTCATTATTCAAAACACAGTGATCTGAATCTCCAGCTCTTACCATTTGAAGCAAGCTCTTGCTCCTTGAAGACCTCAGTGGCGTAATAAGCGGGAAAGATGCCATGTGCTCCGCTTCTCATGTTGTAGCCCTCGCACCAGTGATCCTCGTCCTGCAGCTCCACCAGCAGAGGGTCACTGACCTCCAGCTCCAGCTCGTCATCATGACGAGGGACAAACCTGCCAAAAACACTTCCATCAGGCGAGGACATGCTTGCTTTTCTATCTGGTTCGTTCTCAGATGGTGAGATTTGTGTCTCGTTTTTTGTCCCAGTGACTTACTACTCATATAATTAACAAGATACTCAACTTGTATAACTTAAAGGGGTGGTTGATTGCGATTTCACTTTTTTTTAACCTTAGTTTGTGTGTAATGTTGCTGTTTGAGCATAAACAATATCTGCAAAGTTACAAAGTTGAAAGTTCAATGCAAACGGAGATATCGACTTTTAAAATTCTGGCAGTTTAATGCCTACAAATACGGCTCATTCAGATCATCAGCTCAGCTCTGTTCCATTTATACACTTATTTTCACATAGCTATGAGAAGTGTTATACATGGACGCGCATGCAGTTGCCGTACTGTCTGTATTAAAGCTTTAAAGGTGCCATAGAATGGAAAACTGTATTTACCTTGGCATAGTTGAATAATAACAGTTCTGTACATCTGTACGGGCCTCAAACACCATTGTTTCCTCCTTCTCATGTAAATCTTGAGCACGTGCGATCGCAAATCTTGAAAGTGAAAGTAAAACGCGATCCTGCATTCAATGGTGTTTCAATACCCTGCATATTAATAGCGGCTCCCTGATTAGAGACGATTAGACACGCACTAGAGGCGGTTTAGCCAATCACAACACACGGGACTAGCTAACCAATCAGAGTCCATCGCGTATTTCTGTGGGAGGGGCTTCCTAAAAGCAGGAAATGATCAGTGTGTTTATCAGAGAAGTGACAGAGCGCTGAAGAATAAAGGTAAATTATGTGAAAAACAATACGTTTTTTAAAAAACGAAGCATGAACACGTTAGACTGCACCCCATAAACACAATCAAAACCAGTCAACCACCCCTTTAAAACATAACACAATACTTTTGGTTTTTTTTTTTTTTTTTTATATGTTGAGTCACAAATGGTGCCGTTTCCTGAGAATGACCCAGTATCCACTGTTAACAGTTGTGTTTCAGTCTGTTTCACCTGTACACGGCTCTGTGAGTCTGTTCTCTCTCTTCTCCATTGATTACGCAGGAAAACAAGCCAAACGATTCTGTACCTAAACACCAAAGCAATGAGTTTGTTTCAGCCTGTCATACAAACACTTTCACATCAGTACAGTGCATTATATCAATATACAGTGCATTCTAATTATGGTCAAATACTGATCTATTCTTACACACGTACTTTCTAATTGACATAGTAATTGAAGATTTGATACAATTGCAAATTATAGGGAAGCAATCTACACTGAACGAACTGAACTAAAAGCTTTCAAGGGTTATTAAGGGCTTTTAGGAACATAAAAAAACAAACTGTTTCAAATTAATTATAAAAACTGCACAAGGGCAGTGGGGCTGAATCTACCAACGATTCCGTTGTTATACCAAATACAATAACGTTGTAGGATTTCTTTATTTACCTGTTTATAGCAACACCCTTTCAGCAAATAAATTAAGCTACTGGTTGAATGTCATGTAACTCATAGCTTGTTCCTCAGCAAAGCCTTCATCTTAGTACTTTATAATATCAGTTGTATATATATATATATTGAATTTTGACACTGAAGACTGGAGTAATGATCCTGAAAATTCAGCTTTGATCACAGGAATAAATTACATTTTAACATATAATCACATAGAAAACAGTTATTTTAAATTGTAATAATATTTCACAATTTTACAGTTTTGATCAAATTAAACGCAGCCTTGGTGAGCAGAAGAGAATTATTTCTTTTTAAAAACACACGCACACACAAAAAAACAAAGAATTCCAAACTTTTGACCGATAGTGTTCAAATGCTAAAAATATATAAAAGTGCACTTACTGGAAGAGCGTGAGCAGGCGTTCATGAAAACGTTAACAAATTTCCGAGAAAACTGCATGTCGGCTTCAGGCGTGGAATCCTCTGACAGACACGTCGAAGCGTCCTGTTTGATCCCGCTTTGTTTTCTTCCCCCGTCTTCATTCTCGTTCTCCTCATCCTCTTTCTCAAGAGCTGACTCGTATGGAGAGGAGACGCAGTTATCGTAGACGGTGGCCGAGTCGCTGTCGTCGCTGTATCCGCGATAACACTCTTTCAAGCTGACGAGCTCCAGCTGATCGTGCTCGTCCACGACCAGCGTGTATTTCACCGAATCGTAGGAAAGTCCGCTTGCGTCCGAGTTGCTCATGGAAGTCCGCAGCATTCCCGACAAACCCTCGCGGTGCGCGTGAGCCTCGCCTGCGCCGCAGTCTCCGTAACACAGATCTTCCGCTCCAGTTGCTTCTTCTGCTTCACTGTCAGGGGCCACAGCAGCCAAAGCCTCCACACAAGAGGAATATGAAGGCGGCTGCAGATCCTGTTTGCTGTACGGAGGGGGAGCTTCATTGTCAGAGCTGTCTGGGATTACTTGGGAAAGCGCCGGCGTTCTCTCGTGCTCCAGAGCCTCAGTGCAGCGCTGTATCGGCGTCAGAAAGATCTCCTCCGTAGGCTCCAGCCTAACGTCTGTGTGATATCGGATGCGTTCGCAGTGGCCCGCTTCTCTGTGCACGTCTCTGGCTTTGTATGGTGGGGCAGGAGCTTGAGTGTGTTTGGAGGGGCAACTGTTGGGTTTGTCGGTCGAGGTGCCGCAGTCCTTCATTTGAGTCCGACTCTGAGCAGTGTGGTGCTTCTCCTCATCGCTCAGACACGTGTGTTCGCGAGATGGCGCGAGTTCACCTGGTTGCAGGAGGGTCGTGCACAAAAAAGTGAATTGATAGAGTATCAATCAAGTCCATGCACGAACACAAACACACATAAATATGGCAGTGCACTTTAATTATTCTGTTAAAATTAAGTTATGACCCTAGTAAAAAAGTAAAATACTTTTATTTCATACTAAGTATAGTTAAAATCTATTAACATATTTGCTGATGTAGCGCTCGAGACTTACTGATATAGAAATTGTAATTAAACTTTCCAAGCGCAACTCGTGCACAAATCTTAGTATTAAGCATAAAATGTGTTTTAATGTCACTATTGATGAGGATTGTATATCTTTGAATAATATCGGTCTTTAGATATTTAAATTGTAGCTACCTGACGTATACTTGCAATAGTTCCACTTTAGCACGATCAAATATACTTCAGTTTATCTTTAGCTGGACTTCAGCACTACTTCCGCACAATTAAAGTGCAGTAAGCACAAAATTAGTTGTTCCAATTTAGCAGACGTTTAGTATACCAGTTTAGTATACTAAAAATACAATTGCAGGGTATTTTTATTAAGTACGTACAGTAAATATATAAATGTATTTGTAGTATACTTAGCATGAAATAAATGTATTTCAAATTCATTTTAGTGTATTTATTTTGGTAACACTCTATTTTAAGGTGTCCTTGTTACACGTTACATGTACTTACTATTATAATAACAATAAATCATGCGTAATTACATGCAAGTAACATAAACCTAACTATATAGTAAGTACATGTAGTTACTCAGTATTTAAATGTAAAATTACACTGTAACAAGGGCACCTTAAAATAAAATGTAACCTTTATTTTTTACTAGGGGAGATCAGTGGTAATAGTCAACTAACATGCTGACTAATAAAACATAAAATGGCTCGGTTTGTTTTTGAAACAGACAGACCAAGATGTTAGTTATGCCTATGTGACCCATTGTTTGACTAGAGTGCACATGCAAACATGTTTTTGTAGATGACTCGACTAAACCGAATTCACATGACCACAGTTGGCAGCAAAACATGACTGGTCTTTTGTCATTGAGACAACAGAGCAAGGGAGGTTTGGCATACAGTGAGCTAGCCGACAAACGGTCAAATTACCTACAAAATAAACAGCAAATGCAACAAAAAAGAACACACTTTTAAAAGTACACCTTTGAGAAATGCACTTAATCATATTGATTGTGCACTTGGAGTGTACTTCAAATCATGAAAGTATATTTAAAAAAAAAGACTTTGCAGACAATAATATTAATAAAATAAAATGTCACCTAAGTGTATGTAAAGAGAGACACTTAAATGACTATGTTTCTTAACACACTTAAGTACACTTTTAAAAATTGCAGTTTGTAATGTTAAACATTTTACGCTAGTATGTTTAAAATGGTAGTTTTAATAAGTTTTGATGTGCTTTAAAGAAGCACACTTATTTTGATGTGTTGATTACTTGATTATAATTTAATCGCAGTGTGTTGTGTTATTTTATTTTACATTTAAGGTTAATATATTTCAAATGTACTAAATTGCAACTTTATGTGTCATTACACGTATATTTAAATGCATTACATACAAGTTACATACAATAGAAATTAAGCATATTTTAGTTTATCATAAATGCTTGTCAGTACATTCAGCAGTACTTTAACCATATTTCAAATGCAATAGAAATAATTATGAAATTGCATATAAAGATGTACTTAAGTTGGTTAAAAATGACTAAAGTTCAGCTAATTGCAATTATTATACATTTAAACTACAATACATTTTCATTCAATTGTAATTAACATGCAATTAAGTGTCTGAACGCATTACATTCAGTTCATACTTAAGTCAATTCCTTTAAGGTATTTTATTTCGGTAAATGTAAATATACTGTATATGTCACAATGCTGAAAGCAGGATAACTGCAAAAACACAAAATTCTATTTAAAAACTTTTTTTTTTTAAACTTGTTTTAAGTAGAGAACACTGTTGTTTCTGCTGTGATGTCTTAATTAGCGCACACACATAAACAAAGATCACTCACCTGTTTTAAGGGGCGGCAAGGTCTGGGAGATTTTCTGCTGCCAGCTGTACTTCTTCGCAAATGAGTTGTTGTTTAAAGTGTCCTGTTGATTAGATGCAACAGACAGGCTATAGCATACTAATCTTGCAGTATACAGTATGCAAACTGTGTATAGCATATGTTTCTATATACATGGCACTGGGTACTGATGAACCAGAGGTAATATCAATCTTTTCTTTTAATCTTTCACATTATTTTATCAGACCCAGGGGTTCTCTGAGTTTTCATACTACAAACAGACAAATGTCCAAATTTGACCTGTTGGTGGCGCTAGACGATTTCAGTCAGATAACTTATATTTGCCAGCGAGAATTTTCAGACTCTTACCTATCAGTGTTTCCAAATAAGCAAAGCCATTAGACCATCGCACTCCCAGTCTTAAGTCGCTGGGGTATATTTGTAGCAATAGCCAACAATACATTGTATGGGTCAAAATTATAGATTTTTCCTTTATGCCAAAAATCATTAGGATATTAAGTAAAGATCATGTTCCATGAAGATATTTAGTAAATTTCCTACCGTAAATATATCAAAACTTAATTTTTGATTAGTAATATGCCTTGCTAAGAACTTAATTTGAACGACTTTAAGATGATGCATACATCTCAATTTTGAAAAATTGACCCTTATGACTGGTTTTGTGGTCCAGGGTCACATATGCTAAAGTATACTTCTTTTTACAAGGACAAAGTGAGTGAGTAATAATCAGTCATTAAAACATTAATTGAGTGCTTTATGCACTATTTAAACATTACTTCATGATATTTAGTTTTGCACTCTTTTCTGAAATGTCCTAGGATGCACTGCTTCCCTTGCCTCATCAGGTGTATATCTATAGTCATATTTTAATCTGTCTATTACCTGAGTCCGCGGCACCTGTGGGAATAAGTTGAGAGTGGTGGGTCGTTTTGGACGGTAGGCATCCATGCTGACAGGAACGGCAGAATCCATTGATGCTCGACAAGCCACTCTTTGGCTCCTGTGTGCAGCATCAGTAAGATGTGAAGGATGTGTCTCTGCCTGGATCTGACCCGCTGCGCCTGCCTCCACCTCGTCCAGGCTGCTATTGTGTGCCTGGATCACATGATCCTGCAGGGATTGGAAAGATCGGCTGTCAGTCAGAGAAGAGAGTGAATGAGAAAATAAGAGAGGGGAGATGAGGGCCACTGAGCAGACCATTAGAGCAAGCAATGACATCAGACTTTGGCTTTTTCAGTGCCGGCGAAGCCGAGAGAACAAGAGCCGGGGAGGGGTTTGGTACAAAGACTATTCATATGCGTGTTTACTCACTGCATTACAATGAGACTCATTAACACGTAGAGCTCGGGCTGCACTCAGCTGCGGCTCTGTTTGCGGCAAACATTTGCCAGATTTGATCAGATTTTGATATAGACGAATTTATAAAAAAAGTGCAGCAAAAGCAAAATTTCCGTCGAGTGGAAATTAAGAGTTTAACTCAGTTTTTAAAAATGTTAAAAAATCATATTTTTTATTATGTTATCATGTTTTTATTGTGTTAGTTTGCTGTATTTTTTAGTTATTTTTTAACCTAATCAAAAGAACCCAACTGTAGTTTGATTGAGATTAATTGCAATGCACAATGAAAAAAAAAACAAAAAAAAAACATGATTTTTGAAAATGGTTATCTGTTTTTGCAAATGAACTCTTCAAATATTTTCTGTTTATTATGTATTTTGGTGTAACTGACCAATAATTTGCATCAGTTCAGTGGGCTGGGAAACATGACTTACTTTAATGCCACACATGTAATGAAGCCCATAAGCTGGCTGCTGAAAATTCAGCTTTGCATCACAAGAATAAAGTCAGTATATGAACAAACAACTGGCAAAGGACAAGAATTTCATTGCAATACTGAAAATAATATTGCATACAAATGATTAAAAGATCCTTGGCATAACAAGGGTGTTGCTATGCAATAAAAATAATGATCTGCTACAAATGTTGCATCTGCTGCTCATCAAAAGACATGCACTAACACAGAAACATTTGATATATTCTACCACTAAAAACACAAGCTTGAAGAGTGAAAGAACCTCATACCATTTCTCCCATTGCTCCTCTGTCCATTCCTCTTTGCCATCACCGTTGGAGTCCATTCTGTGAGCAGTGCAGCGTGGGATTGTGTGGACATCTGGTCAAAGCTCGGCACCTGCCATTCGAGCTGCTCTATCTGAAGTCAGGTTAGACTGACTAGCACATGTGGCTCCAGCATCCTCATATGTGCTGTAGAATGAATGAATGCTGCATTTTTCTCACTGTATCTCTCTGCCCTTGCTCATGTGTTTACCTGCATCCTCACTGGGCGATCTACAACCGGATCACAGACAAATACAAGCAGAGATGGCAAAATAAAAGCTTTGCAGAGTCAGAGCTGAGAGAGATGCTGCGAGACAGTGTCCTTCTGCTGATACATAATAATAATCATGCAGCCCATCCAACAGAAGTCGTGTGTTTTACAACATCACCCCTCCTCTCTGCTTCTTGTCTCCAGTGTCGCCCATCCCCCATCTCTCTCTCTCTCTCTCTCTCTCTTTCTCAGTGTGAACTCTCATTCTGACGGCACCCATTCACTGCAGAGCATCCATTGCTGAGACACTGATGCAATGCTACATTTCTCCAAATCTGATGAAGAAACAAACTCATCCTAATCTCGGATGGCCTGAGAGTGAGGCATTTTTCAGCACATTTTAATTTTTGGCGAACTATTCCTTTAAAATAGCCTAACCTTTTTTCCCCTTACACTCTTAAAAATAAAGGTTCTTTATTAGCATTGATGGTTCCGTGAAGAACAACAATGGAAACTTTACATTGCACAAAAGGTTCTTTAAGATAGAAAGAAAGGTTATGTATAGAACCTGGAAACGTGCTTTTGGAACCTTTACGTTAAGAACATTTTAATCTGATGAACCTTCTTCCACTATAAAGAACCTTTTGTCCAATGGAGAGGTTCCGTGAATCTTAAAGGTTCTTTATGGAACCAAAGCAAATAAAGATCGTTTATTTGTAAGAGTGTTCAGGATATGGACACAGGAGTTATTTTGCACACTACATGCAGTTGGTGGTTAGTCAAACAGGTTAGCTAAATGTATTTTTCCATTATTTAAAATACTATGATGTACAAAAAAGTAGTCCCATACCCGCAGAAAAATAGTCAAAAGAATTCTGCAGGAACTTGTAGGATTTTTCTACGAAATAGTTTGCGTCAGGTTCTCATTGCTCCAGCAGAAGGCCTCGGGCTTCTCACAGCTGCAGCTGCGCACTCCGGTCCAGCTGGTCGCGGTAATTCACCAAAAAGCTGCTTTGCCAACCTCCAAAGAAAACACACGAGAAAAAAGACCATGCGGTATCTTCATCCTTCCTGAGAGACACGGAGCTGAGCCCAGTCATGTGGAATAATAAATGTAGAAATGAGCCCTGCAGTAGTAGTGTCACCCATTTCACCTTGGTTATTCCCTTTACCATTAGTAGACTTTAATTTGCAAGAAATTATTAATGACAAAAATAGAGTAATAGCAAAAGATGTCATGGTTAAGCTGTATCTAGAACAGAATTACAACTCCGCAATCTCAATTTTCACTGATGGTTCCAAAGATCACGAGACAGGACAGCATCAGCAGCTGTATCTGTCCCAACTTATCAAATCAAGATTGGTAAAAGGGTTTCTGATCAAGTATGAGTTTATACTACAGAGATGGTAGCAATATTATTAGCTATCAGGTGGTTGGAGGATACTCGGCCAATGAATGCGGTGATATGTTCAGATTCATTCTCTGCATTATCAAGTCTTATCAGTGGAAGATCTTCAAGACAAGACATTTTGTATGAAATTCTTTTATGTATGTATAGAGTGAATAAGATAGGAATTAAGATATGTTTCCTGTGGGTTCCTGCTCACGTGGGAGTGGATGGAAATGAGGTTGCGGATCATTTAGCAAAACAGGCACTGAAATGATCACATATAGAAATTATTATACCACTAAGCAAAGAAGAAGTTAAGGCTAAAATTAGAACAGCAATAAAAATGAGATGGCAAGAAGTTTGGAACAACGAGGAGAGAGGAAGACATCTTTATCATATTCAAAATCAAGTTGGGGTTGAAAGAGTTAATTTTTCAAACATATTTCAGCCACCAGAAACAGCAGAGCCACAGCCCATCTCACCAGACACATTATCCCTCTCTCCAGCATCTCCACTTCTAAGCTTCTCACAGAAAATGGAGGAACTGGTTTATGCTGGGACC